CCTAGCTCTTTCCTCTATTTCCTTTGACTTTCCTCTTGTCCCACTATCATGCTCAGTCTTCATTTGGGTTTAAGTAATTCCTCTTGGTTACGTTACCCTCAATCCCGCCCTACCAGGCCTCCCACAACCTCATCACCACCGATTTGGATCACTTGTTGTTCCCTTGTCCCTTGGTTTGTTAACACCACTACCTTTCCCCCCACATCCCATTCTCCCATGTCCCCCCCAGAACTGTCGGTCCCATTGTTTCCCCCTCCAGATTGTTCATCCAGTCTATTTTATTTAGACAGACCTGCGGAGATAGAAACTGCTTTTTTAAAGTTATTAACCAAATGTAGTTTATTATGAGCTGGTAAGAGAACAGAAAGGAAATAAAGCAGCAATCATTTGTTTTACAAAGTCTCAAAGGACACTGCAGCGAGATTCTGTTTGCCCATATGTAAAATCACAGCATGTAGCCAAAGACACAGGACAGAAGTCCCAACTTGGAAGAAACCAGTTTTCAAGAATTAGGTACAGAAAGTATTCATTAAAAATTAAAGAACGCCATCTAAGATTCTATTCTTTTCTGATTCTGACCCTCAAAAACAGACTGGAAACTAACAGTGTGTATTTCTTTGGGCAAGCCCAGTTTCAAATGTCTCTGAATATGCTTTCCATGGGTGGTGCAAATGGATAAGCACTTAGCTACCAACTGGATGGCTGGAAGTGCAAATCCATCCAGAGTCCCCTCAGAATAAAGCTGTGGCTGTCTGCTTCTGAAAAGCAAGTCACTTGAACCCTGTGGAACACAGTCCTAAGTGGAGACACACGGGGTTGCCGGGGCTAGAGATCCACTCAAGGGCATCTTGTTAGCTTAACTTTGAAGGAGAATGCTTTTAGTGGTACGTGTAACCTCCAGTGCACCATGTCAGATAGTTTCTCTCTTTTGTTTCCATGCGTGTGTGTTAAGTGCAGATTTACAGAGCAGATCATCAGTGTTGCTATCGACAATTCATACATGTTTTGTTTCATCTCACTCATTGCAATCCCCTCAACAGGCCATCACTTACCCATGTCCTCTCTGTGTTTGCGGTTTCCATTCCAAAGCCCTTACCTGGCTCCTCTCAACACTGTCCTTGGGGAAATGCTGCCCTTTTGTTCTTAATTGAACAATTCAAAGTTGTGTGGATCTCCCTAGAGGTATTATTCTCATTTGAGATATGTCTATAACAGCAACATTTTAAGAAATTATTGTTTTGACTCTACTAGTTAAGGTAATATAATCCTCTTTCTTACTAGATCTTTTTTTATTTGTTCATTTAATATACTTTATTGTGGGAACCCTGAATAGGTGCTTGACTACGAAACAAAAGATGGCAGTTTGAACCCAGTACCCACTCAGTGAGAAAAAAAGTGTGACAATCTGTTTCCATACAGATTTGCAGCCTTAGAAAACCCAAAGGGACAATTTTACTCTATCCTTCAATATACCTATGAGTTGAAATAAATTAACAGCAATGTTTCTATCGTTGTTTTTATTGTATAGAGCACTTTTAAGTGTATAGAAAAATTGTTCGGGATATAGACTTCCTATATGTGTGCTTTCCCTGACTTGCCTGTTACCATTTTGCATTTGTATGGCACAACAGTTTTAATTTTTGTGTCATTATTGATAAATTATTATTATAAAGGAAGCACTTCCTCATGTAAGTAACAGACTACAGTGTGCAAAATAGGTTACATTTGAATATAAAAAGTTAAATATCCTCACAACTGGTAAACAACATCATGATAAATGGTGAAGGAGTTGAAGTGGCTCAGGATCTCATTCTTCTGTTCTTCTGGGATTAAAAATCAACACCCGTGGAAGCAGCTGCCATGTTATGGCACAACATATCATGGCAAATCTGTTATAAAAGACCCCTCTATAGTGTTAAAAAGCACAGATATATCTTTATTTAAGAGTGTCTGACCCAAGCCATGATATTTTCACACTTTATGTGCATGTGAAAGTTGAACATTATAAAAGAAAGACTACAGAAGAAGTGATATAGTCAAATTGTTGTTTTGCCTAAAATGTTGCAGATGCCGTGAACTAACAGAAAAAATAAATAAATAAATCTGTTCCAGAGGAAATACAGTTGAAATGCTACTCCCAAGCCAGGATCTCCACTATTTAAAGAGGTTATCACCAGAGACAAGTTCTTGACGAAGGGCATCAGATGTGGTAGAGTGTCAGTAGAGGAAACGAGACGCTGAATGAGATGTGTTGACACGGTGACTGTGACTGTGATAAACATAGCACTGATTGAGAGGAATGGGCATTCTCTTACACTTGAGTTGCTATGAGGCAGGGTTCACTCAATGGCACCTAACAATAATAGTGATTAACTAAAGGCAGTCGTTTAGAATAGGGTTCACTCTGTGTTGTACAGGACTATATGTATATTTACTATTTTTAATAACATTCATAAACAAATGTTAACCTGATGTGTAAAAACAACTTGAGGGTTTTTTTTCATGTTAGTGTATGGCTGTATTAAAAACTAAAAACTTCAAACTCACTACCATGAAGTCGGTGCCAACTCAGAGCTGCCCCACTGCTGAGCTTGTGGATCACAGCCCATAAGTAACCACGATGCCACCAGAGCTTCTGACTCCCTTAAAGACAGTATTCAAATAATTACATAGTATGATATGCATTACGTTTATGATTTAATATGTTTTCTCTAATCTTGAGGATACTATTTGGTCTTCTTGATGGAGGAATTGGATTTTTCCTTTAAAAATATTATTACTCCTTAAACAACATGAGTTTTAACTAATTGTACAGGTCCACTTAAATATTATTACTCCTTAAACAACATGAGTTATTACTCCTTAAACAACATGAGTTTTAACTAATTGTACAGGTCCACTTAAATATGTATATAATTCTAATTGTCTCCACCTGAGCAGTTAGTCCTTCCAGCAAGTTGCACATTATAGTAAAAATAGACCTCTGTGATTCTCACAGATTTTTCCTCATGTTCAGTGTAACTCTCTGGGTCTTCAGTGAAACCCTGGGCCTGAGAGCATGTGCCTCCAGTGACCCCAAAAGTGCTCCCGAGAAGCAGAGAAAACTCTGATATTGCCAATAGATGTGGACTTGCGGGGCCAGTACCATAGTTTGAGGCCATCAACTGCAATTGCCTGCCATTTCAAGATAAATTAATTCAGGATAAAGATCACTGTCAAAGAAGAAAAGGAAGTTAGAAAAGCTATCAATGCAACAACTCCACGAGGAGTTAAAACCTTACACTTTTTGTGAAATATCTTTTGATCTCATAGGGTGAATACAGCTTTTAAGTGAGTGCAATACATATTATAATAAAATACAAAATACACTGTGTTAGTCTGGGTCGACTAGAGAAACAAATCCACAGAAACTCATATGTATATGAGAGAGTTGTATATAAAGGGTAAGTGTACATTAAGAATGCATCCCAACCCAGTGCTGTCCAAGCCCATAAGCCCAACATTAACCCTTATGTCCAACACCAATTTACAAAGTACTCCTCAATCTCACAAAACACACGCAATGACACTGACTGCAGGAGGAAAGTCAAATCAGTGAGTGTGTAAGCATCTCAATACTGGCAGGGTTCTCCACACGGCTGCTCCAGCACCCAGGGCTGCATAAGGGTAGGTCCATGCGGCTTCTCCTCAGGGATGTCTTGCAGGAAGTGAGCCTTGCCAGATGAAGCAGGGAACTGATTAAGGCAGCTACACCCTGGTCCAACCATCAGAAAGCAAGAGACCCAAGAACTAGCAAGGTGAGGCTCACCAAGCCACTTATCTCTCAGCCCTTCAATTAGTCCCACATGTGTTTATCAGCCAGGTTGGCACAATAAACCTTAACTATCTCATAGTGCTAATTGATAATTTATGTTATAGGTAAGGCTATTAGTAATTAAGTTTTGTCAAAAGACAAACCTAAATTTTCATCTGTGCAGAGAATTGCTGCCCCATACCTCTGCGTTGTTCAAGGGTCAACTAATGTTCTTTTTTAAGTTAAAGTTAAGAGAATATGATGGAAAAGGCTCCTATATGTCAGTCACTGTTCCAGGAGCCCTAGTCATGTCATTTCATTCAATGTTCACAGCAAAATAGCCTAGATCGTCATTATAGTCCCTTTTCAAGTACCTGTCAACAACGTCCTTTCCGTTTGATCAATATATAATGGAAGAATGAGAGGAGCTAATTATTTTCTGTTTATTTGGTTTAGGTTTTGTTTTGTTTTTCTTTACTCTTTTTCTTCCCTAAACTTGTTTCTTCTCCATCCAATCACTTCCCACCCTTCCCCGCCCCCCCGACTCCCCACCCTGTGAGTAAACTGGACTAATCTATTTTTTCCACTGCATTTCTCATTAAATACTAAACAAGCAGTCTACACTCATGTATGGCAGGTTCAGTGCTCATAATTATAAAAAGTGGATTCTATTTTCTTGATGGTCTTTGTTCTTATCTTATTTAACTTTAATCCCTTTCATATTATTGCCTTTAAGATTTTCAAAATATGTTGTGTGTTGTTTTTTTTTGGTTACTTTCTTTCACTTTGCCAAGGGTCTGCAAACTTGATAATTCCCTTCATGGAATACAGCAGAATAGGCTCAAAGGTTTTACTTAATACTACATAGACACATACATTGTTAATAATTGTTTTAAGTTGCCATTGAGTCAATAACAACCCAAGACACCCCAGATGCATTTGAAATGAACTGATAGGGTTTTCAATGGCTAATTATCCTTGCTGTTATACATGAGGTCATTATAAATTGGAGCCAACTCAATGGCAGTGGAAGACTAGAGATGTAGATCTCTAGATCGTTCTTCCAAGGTACTTTCAGCAGACTCGAACTGCCTGCAGTTTGGTAAGCAGCTAATTGTGTAGCTTCTACATGAAAGCACACATATGAATACACTAAAACCGAATACAGCACAATCAATCGGTGTAAACAATAATGATTCTCTTGCAGAAACATGATGGCCATTTCACAGTCATCCAGTTGGTTGGTATGCTCCGAGGCATCGCATCCGGGATGAAGTACCTTTCTGATATGGGTTATGTTCACCGAGATCTAGCGGCTCGGAATATATTGGTCAACAGCAATCTCGTGTGCAAAGTTTCTGATTTCGGGCTCTCCCGAGTGCTGGAAGATGATCCGGAAGCTGCTTATACAACAACTGTAAGTTTTCATGTCTTCCTCGAATATCGTTGTTGTACTTTCATTATTTCTAATGTGATTAATTATGTTTTTGATTCCTGATCTAGCATCAGTCTCCTAATTGGACATCATTATTTCACTAAGACATGTTCACTTTATCTAAGTATCTGTTACAAAAATTCTAATTTTTACTATTCTTTCATTGCATCATGACTTCAAGTCCATGTTATGATTCCCTTTACAATAAATCAGCCGTAGCCTGATGTCTTTTCAATACTTCAGTAATTAATTCTTTAAATGAAGTACTGAGTAAGCCAACCAGACAATCCATGCTAAATCAGTGCTGAGTATCAGTGGACAGGAAATGACCTGTTATGCTCACAGTTAAGGTTATGAAATGATTTGAATATTCATATTTTCAAATGAACATGATAAATGCTTCTGGAGATTTTTAAACACACTGGAAAGCTTTTTCTAAATAAGATTTGGAGAAATGTATAGCAAAGAATAAAAGATTAAAGTTTGTAAATCAAACTATAAACTGCACATGATCTCAGCTTGACTCTTGAATAGTTCAAATATTTCTGAGTGCCCCAAACCAATTCATTCCATTGATTTCTTTACTTATTATTTTGATAAATTCAATCTGAAAGCTTCTATTAACCCATCTGAAAACTATTCATTTGTAAAATTATACTACATTGTGATATTTGTTAACAAAACCTTCACAATTGATCTATTTGATGGCTGCAATGGAAAAAAAAGTACAAAAAAGGATTCAAGATGTTTTTATTCTCTTCTCTGCTTTTAACCTTACACATTACTTTAAGAGACAAAAACATTGTTTCCTTTCATTTCAATTTTTTGAGGTGTTTTGAAACTTCCCTGTGTTCATTTACTCTAGGATGAATGAAATGGTAATACTTTGAAAGTAATGAGAAATCAAAAACCATTGCTAAAAAATCAAAAAACTTTATTAAATAAAATATCAAAATATGAAGCTGTGGTTTTGCAACATAGCCTCCATCTAGATGTATACACTTCAGAAAGTGTTGTTTCTCTATTTCTCCCCAAAAGGAGCCAGGTGGTGGTATTGGCTAAACCAATAGTCACTCAGTTGGGGGAGGGGGTCGGCGGCGGGAATGAAGCAATCTGCTCTTGTAAAGATTTACAGCCCCCAACCCTGGTCTCTGTGAATGAGAACTGACTCAATGGGAGTGGATTTGGATTTGGATAATCTTCCCCAAAGAAGTCTGAATTATTTGATTAAGACCACATGAAAACAGTAGTTTGGGGCATCCTTAAAGGACTCAAATCGTGTGCTTTGAATTTGGGGAACAAATAGAAATCCGACAGGGCAAGATCCGGTTGTAGGGTGGCTGGGGAAGGCTGCCCAGTCAGAGTCCTGTAGGACGTTCTCAGCCACCCTCAAAGAAGAAGCAGGTGACAAAAAAAAATAATGCTACTGGCCTTTTCTTGGCAATTATTTTCTCTATTGTCTTAAAAACTCTTCATAATAAGCCCCTGTAGTTGCCTAGTGTCCTTTGAGAAAATTCATCAAAATTGCTGCTTTGGATTTATAAAACACGGTCACCATAATCTTTGAAGCTGACCTCTCTGCCTTGTATCTAGCTGCCTAAGGAATTCCCCTTGGAAGTGATTGTTTCCATGGAATGAATACATATAGGAATATACTATAAATAACAATATTCTAATGATATTACAAGCATATTGCTGAGAGAACTTATTTGCAATCATCTACTGGATCTGTAGAGACATGTTGAAATACATTTTCTTTGACTGAAGCCTGTGCGTGTATAAACTGGAATCCGATACCCGTACTTTTTTACTTATCCTTGTATTTTATGCCCTTCACGTGTTTCTTATGTAGAAATGGTCTACATTAATTTACCAGTGGTATTTTCACTGATTTCTCAAAAAAAACAACACTGTTTGAAGGAAAACAGATTAATTTTTAGAGCCTGACGTATAGGATAGCAGTATCCACTGCTCTTTTAATTGAAGAGAGAATTTTATAAAAATAAAAGTCTATCACATTGGAAAACACTGTGCATTATACAAAAAGCAGGATGGTCCATTCCTATTTCTAATTTTAAAATGCCATCATTATTTTTGTATTTAAGACTGTCATTTTCTTCTCCTTTGTGTTTACAAATGTACATGTATACACTGAAATCATTTTGAAGCCATGGAACACTGCATAGTATGTAGATTTTTTATTAGGCTTTTTCTAATTCCTGAAAATGGCATTTAAAAGTGTTCTCTTTTATAACAATTATAAACTATAAGGTTTATAAAATACATTATGTACAATAAAATACAATATATATAAGAAAATATATAAGATATATAAGAAAAACAATATAAAAAATAACCACCATCTTGACAGGCCTTTCTAGCTCTCCCATCCCATCTAGAAGCTTCACTAAAATCTGTTTCCTATCACAGATTCCCCTGGCAGATGAGTGGGGGTGTCACAGGAGATGTCCCATGTGGGAATCAAACTTGCCTCCTTCACAGAGAAGGCAAGAATTCACGTTGGAAAAGACTTCTCAGCATACACAAACTCTGTACTGTGCCTTAAAATGTTTCATTACTTAGACAGCTCATGGAACACTATTCCAAGTCTAAGAAATAGAAAAGACATGTAAATGCCGGGAAATGACTGGCATGTTTACGGAAAGGGGAACCTTTTGGAATGCAGATGAAGGGCCATGGTGCAACATGTTGCTTAGAAATAAAGTTAAGGTTACTTAATCGGCACTTCAAGACATTTGAAGGGTTTTCCAGAATAATAAAGGACCAGGCATTTTATTCATTTAAATGGGCCATAAAACAGGCCATATTTTAGGAGATATTATTGATTTGAATATGGAAGATGAATTGAAGAGTAGAAGAATTAATAGCAGGAAGATTCCTCCATCCCACCTCACCCCCGCCCCAAAGAAAGCTGTCATTGAGTTGATTCTGACATGTGGTGTTGTGGTTAGTTGCCATCACGTTGGCTCTGACCCATATTGCCTCTATGCACAACACAAGCAAACACTACATGGTCCTGCTCCATCCTCACAATTGTTCTTATGCTTGAGCCCATTAATGCAGCCACCATGTCAATCCATCTCTTTGAGAGCTTTACTCTTTGTTGTGCCCCTCCTCTTTACCAAACATATCGTCTTTCTCAAGGAACCTGTTTCTGCTGACATGTTCAATGTACGAGAGATGACATCTGGCCATCCTGGCCTCTGAGGAGCGCTCTGGCTTGACTTCTTCCAATTCACATCTGTTTGTCCTTTGAGCAGTCCATAGTTCTTTCGATACTCTTCTTCAGCACAGCAATTCAAATGAATCTATTTTTCTGTGGTTTTCTTTATCCAGTGACTCACAGCAGCCCTATATTCATTTTCTAAGACTGTAAATCTCTGAAGCAGATACACTGAACTCTCTCCTGCTGAGAAGCTGGTGGCACCAAATTACTGATCTTACAATTATCGGTCCAGCTCTTATCTTACAACACACGGGGCTTCTGAACAGCTGCTGAAACTAGAATTGAATCAGACACCTTTAGATCGTCAATCTAAAAATCTCCCAACTCAGGATGGTTTACCAGAAAGTCTCCCAACGGAGTAGAGACCAGGAAGTCGATATGGCTTACATATGGGCTATGACAATGGAAGAAGTACGGCCAGAGTACTCCTGAGGGGCAAGGATGGCAAGACTTCAGCATACACACATCGGGCATATTGTCAGGAGAGGCCAATCCCTAGAGAAGGATATCATGCTTGGTAAAGCCAAGGGGCAGCAAAAGAGAGGAGGGCCCTCAAAGAGGTGGGCTGACACCACGGCTGCAATAATCCGCTCAAACAGAAACCATGGTGGGGATGGCACAAGACCATGCAGTGGTTCACTCTGTTGTGCATAGGCTCACTATGGGTTAGAACCGACTCTAGAGTACCTAGCAACAAGATGACAGTGGAATTGAGAAAGAAAGGACTGAAAATCATTTGGAATCTACAATTTCTAAGACTTCGTAACTAATTGGATATGAATTATCATGAGTGTTAGAGCTTTGGGAAACCCTGGGAGGCAGTTCTAAGCTGTTCTACAGAGTTGATGTGACTTTGGGGTGAAGAGGAGGGCAGTACTTTTGCATGTATAATCTTGGTGGAAGCATGTTGCCAGGTCTTTCTTACATAGCACGGGATGTGTTCAAAGCATCAACTCTTAGTTTTATAGCTAATTGCAAACCATTTACCTTCATAATCAACCTAGTTAAGAAAATAGACATTTTTTTCATTCAGATGACTTAGCCAATTTAGAGATCGAGATATCATAGTAAGAGCAGTCCAAAAATTTGGTTTAAAAAAAGACAGGCTGGAAAGATGGGGTGACAGGATGAACCAGGTCCCGGGCATGACACTGTTCAGGACGTGGCTCAGGAGCAAAATGAACATTTAAATTAGAGCGGCCGACCAGGAGAGATGCAAAAGAGAGTAGTCTGCCAACAAGGAGTGTATCTTTAAATTCTATTTAGATTTCATAGACATGTACTGCATAAGAATATGCTATTTACCTTATAAATTGCCTTAAAGAAAATGATGGATGAAACTTACAACTATATGTGAGTACACATCCTACTTTCCCCCCTACAATTTAAGAAGGTTTAGCACATCCTGTGTTAAGACTACTACTACTCATTTAGTATGTACTTAGCACAGTTTATTATGTAGCTACCATAATAATAGAGCATAAACACTAGATGGCCAATAACCAAAAACACGCAGATTATTGAGAACAGATAGGAACAGAGCGACAGGACTGAGAGAAAACAACTGTGGCACAGAATAATGCAAGTCCCAAGTGGGAAGACACCAGGAATGGGTGATACAACAGGAAATACAACGCCAATAACAGAGGATTTTTTTTTTTTTTTTTTTGGAAATGCTTTGAGGAACTTCTACCAGATACGATCTTGCATGCCTTAAGAACTGATCAAAGCAAGA